TGTCAAGCATTGGAACAGGCTGCCCAGGGAAGTGGGTGAGTCCCCATCCCTGGAGGGATTTAAAAGACGTGGAGATGGTGTGCTTAGGGACATGGTTTAGTGGTGGACTTGGCAGTGCCAGGTTAACGGTAGGACTTTAAGATCATTAAGGTCTTTTCCAACCTAAACGATTCCATGATTCCATGATTCTATTTGTTCATTCTTATTTAACTTTAGTCCTGGCACTTGCTGTATAACATAGATCCTTATATTCACATACAAAGTTAAAAAGAAACAAAAATCAAACCAGTAAGCTTGTTTGACACATGAAAAGCATCTAGAACTGGGTTCACTTTTCATCAAAATACATGACGATATTTGCTTCCGGGGCACACCGCTTTGTAAAGGAGATATAAAAATTGGCTGTGAGAAAGCTGCTCACCCCTTTCCTTCAATGGGTTGAAGACGACATTATTTTGTTCCAGCAGAGTGAATCCCACTGATGTACAATGTAGAGGACAGAAACCTAAAAACCAACAGAGAAATATTCAGAAGGAGACAACAGCATAGAACATACTTTCTGAGACAACTTGATTAAAGAATATATTTTGGTTTATTTTGTGGTTCCCTCCCCAAGTTTAAATAATCTGACAGGATTTTTTTGGCATGTTTTGCAAAATTTTTTTTTTTTGCATTTTTAATAATCTCTAATCACACCCACTATCCCATGATATTATCTGAACTTTCCCTCATCTTATTGCGTTCACTCTCCATATTTATCTTTGTCTTTGCTGACACCTCTAACAGAAGGCTACATTTAGACTGCTAACTCGCTTGCTGTTCAACCTGTATATTTTACACTCTGGCTCAGTGTCTGTCTGCTTAGACTAGACAAGGCACATCCCAAAAATAAAACTACGAAATGCAAATAGGAATAACTCATCAGTGTTGTGAAAATTAAGCATGAAACCAAGAAAGATGAAAGACTTCTTTTTAATTTACATCTCCTTCATAATCATGCTTCGATTTTACCATGGAATGTATTTGAATGATGGCTATGACCAAGTAATCCACTACATGATAAAAACTAACAGACTACAGGGAGGTGTGCGAGCCATTGTTAGCATCACGTGTTCGGTGAAGACAGGTTCTACTACAGGATTATTCAGCAATTTTATAAAGCTGTCAAAACATTACTGCTTAAATGTACTTTAATTATATTTAATTTAATAGCACCTGTTTGATATATTAAGGCTACTTTTAAAGAGTAATGATTGTGAAAGCAAAGTAGCAAAGATTGTGAAAATGTATTTAGAAAACACAACTGCTGAAAAGCATTAAAAAAAGCCTGCAAAACTATATCAGGGGAAGTTCCCGACACTAATGTTGCACAAAGGCCATCTGAAATGATATGATGGCTAAAACACACAGCTGAGATCTTGAATCAGATTATCTCCATTTCTCACACAGACAAAGTTTCTGTGTTCCCAATTTTGCCAACTGCATAAGAACTGGAATGACAGTAACTCCAACATTTTTAAAAGTGAAAGGAAGTTGGTATTTGGATTTGAGAACCAAAATTTATCCGTGCATAGTGTAGAAGTAATGTTTTTCAGACAAGTTCACAGAAAAACAAAATGCTAAGGGCCACTCAATATAGATGCCATCTCTGGTTCACAAAGCCTAGCTCTAAAAGAGCAGGGAAGATACTCTGAGGAGTTATAAGGCGGTATAAGCTTCAGTCATTGGTTAGAGATGAAATACTGAGCTAGAAGGAGTTTCAGTCCAAACTGATACACCTAGTCTTGAAGCTTCAAGGGGCAGATGACACATTAAAAGTTCTTACCACTTTCTCTTACACGGTCAAAGACCTATGGCCCCAAAGAACGGACTTCTCTCATTTTTGTAACTTCTTAATTCTGTTCTGAGAAGACAGCATACCCTCCTATTCCCTTCTTCGCACACTATTTATCTTCTATAGTTTTGGTACTCATTTTCACACACCTCACCTTACTGGGCTATTTTCCAATAGAGGACTTCTCACTATTCATAGCATCTTCTAAATGTAGGTCAGTGCCAGATAAATTGGGATTATCTATTCCTTGTCTCTGCTCAGACATAAAGGACTACTTCGCCATTGCAATTCTGAAAAAACTGCTCCCTTCATTCAGAAACAACTGCAGCAAAGAACAGATTGTGCCACAGCTGCCAGATCTGGTCACTATTAAATATTTCACGTATGAAGAAGAAAGGGCTTTGCCCTTGCCTGCAAAGCCTTCCACTGAAACTCTGGAAATCGGCAAGTTTCTAGACAGTGTATGAGATATCGAGGGCAGAAAGAAAGAGGTACTGAAGAAATGCAGGACCAGGTGGAAGATGCTGCAGAGGAAAAGGTTTGGCTGAGAAGGAGCCAGAGGACATTGCAGTCATATTGCCTTCTTCCAAGAGGCACTTGACAGCAGTTAAGACTAGAGTCTACCCTAAAACATATCAGACAAGAAAACAAGAGAGATCTGAGCTTGCATGTTATGTCCTCTCGCATATCCCAGTGGGGGCAAGAACAGGGAACAGATACACCTGTTAAAGGATGGAGACGATACCAAGGCACCGTGGAGCCTCAACTTGGAAATGCTATTGCCAATTCATTTTTTCCTTTTATTCCTCTTGCAGACAAGGCAAAAGAGGAATAGTCACGTTATCGTAATAAAGAAGATACTTAACTGTGAAACCAAAACCAAGGGCAACTTGCTTTCTCACTTAAAAAGCGTATCACGATTGAAGTTTTTACTACAAAGTAAAATATGACCTCGTTCAGTCAAGCGCAGAACCACCCTCTGTTCAGTCACTCTCTCATTTTGCATGTCAGCTAGTAAGAAACAAAGACCTGTGCATACATTCACATATAAAAATATTAGCAGACATTAAAATCAAGATACATTTATATTTTTATAGATTCAAATAATAATAATGAAGCAATATGTAGAGTATATATGACAACATGCCATCAGGGATTCATTCTACCTTTGCTGCAGTAGTTACCTATCCCTAACCTGCCTACGAAGAGACATTCAGTAAAATTAAGAAAAACAAATCAATATGAAGTTGATGCATACAAGTTCATTAAAACTGTGCTCAGTGAGAATGTACTCCTCATTCAGCAGCAAGGTGGCTTCCATTTCCTCTATGTTATGTACTTACAAAGCATAGTCATTATTTAGAATATTATACTTTTAGAAAGATGATGTTCCTGTTCCGGAATATAATACCAGCCTCAGGGAGTTGCACAACGCAGATACAGCTAAACAGTTATTACACAACAGCTATGCTGTCAGTTTCCCTGGGAGACAAGCCCTAAAGAGCCAAAAAACCGATTTACTTTGTGTCACTTTTTTCCCTTTATTGTTTGGTGGTGCAATGAAGTTATTTATATATTAATCTTGATGAATAAGAGATTACATTAAAAAACTGAATGCGTATTATACTTGAAGAAACTGAAAACTAAAGGTAATTTAAAACCCACCACTGAGGTTAAATTTCTTCAGAAATACAGACTACGCTACAAGCTATCATCGACCTTTCTTTGCCTGTAGGATTTTGAACATAACATACTACGTAACACTGACTTTATTCAGCAAGATCTCTCCAACACTATATATACTGCTTTGTTGTCCCATTAATCTTTCATAGCATCCTCTTTTCATATCATCCCATTTCAGAACTTAACAAGCCATACTAAGTATTTACATTACAGACTATCTTCCAAGCATCACTACACAATGTCACACAGCATGACAAACAACAAGCCATTTCATGAAAAGATTTGTGTCCCTTTAGCAATACACTCTTCGTGTAAACTCTGCTCTCAGTATTTTAAAGGAATTCTGGAAATTCTCCTATTTGCAGGTACCAAATATGAAAAAAGTATTATAAAAAATGTGCCACTTTACAAGCTAAAATTGCATATGCAGTAACTGATAAAATGGATATTAAGGATGCAAAGATAATATAAATTTCTCAAGACACAACAACAAAAGCAGAATTAAGGGCACCTGGGTCTTTTGAAGAACTTCAACTCCTTAATTCTGCATACATCCTTTGTGTTCACGCCAGCGTATTTCTTGGGAAGCATGCATAATCATGGTTCACGTTCATGGTTCATGTAATCGCCAATCTACCATAGCGCTTCTTAACAACAAGGAAGAGAAAGATGAGAAATCCTATCCAATCCAGTCATAAAATAATGTCACCTCAGTAAGCTTAGGTATCCTGCCTCCAGGTAGCTCGTGGCATTGCAGAAGGAAATCCTCAGGTTGCTCTCCTACCTTCTGCAAAATGAAAACCTCATTCTTCTATTAAAGGATTCTCAAATTCAAGAAACTTCCTGCAGCATCTCAGTTTCTGCTACCCATTTCACACTGTAATTTGACCCTGCTTTATTAGCTCCATAAAGTAATAGTAAGGAATTAAGGGGACTAAACAGAAATTTTGGTAAAAGGAAAACAAAACTTGGCGGAAAGGAAACCTCCCTTCCTTAATGGCTCCAAGACTCCCGAGGGATTAGGGTATGAGGGAGCAAAAATATTTCCCATCACTCCCTCATTCATCCCCAGTATTCACAAAGAAAATGAAGATTCCTTCAGGGTTTTTCTTCTGTATTCTTAACACTGCAAACTGAAGAACGTCATAACATTTTAGACCCCAAAAATCAAGAAGATAGCATAGTATCTGCCTTGCTGCTATTGTGGTAAGAGGACTGCATTAGAAAGACTACCAAAAACCCCTGACATACTAGAGGACATGTATCAGCAAATCCATAGCTGGAACTGATTCTAGTACAACTTTCCTACTTAATGATATTTAATTACTTTGTCAAACACAATTTCATTTAAAAGCCAAGAAGAAAACCCACAAAACCAAAAAACCCCCCAAAAAACAGAACTCCACCCTCCACATTTCCCCAGCACTCCCCACATGGATACACAACAGGTTTGCGTATGTGCTTAACCCAAGTCCATTCCTTTGCCATCGAAGCCTTTGGAATATCCACGCAAGCGTGTAGTGAATCTCTTACTTCTGGAGACATTCATTTTATCATATCCTTGCAGGCGAATTAAACCAAAGCAACAGGAAATCCTATTTTAATCATGATTTGTATCAGCACCCAATAAACTATGACTGAAATTAATCTTGTTTTGTGTTTATACTTTGCAGTTTCATAAAGAAGAGACAGAATAACCACCAATCTCACTACGCCTTTATTGCTACTGAACACTTTACAATGTTAGCAAGCAGTTTATGTAAGCATATGTAAGTTTTTCAACATTTTTATTACAAAACCATTTCTATGAAAGGCTGAATTCCTAGTGCTACTGAAGTACACTTAAAGAATAAAGAAGAGTTTTACTTAACTAACAACTGCATTTAAAATGGACTTAAGATACTGAATGCGTAAGAAAATCCCCTCTACACATTTTTGGCATTTAAACACTTCATCAAATTAAGATGTTCCATTGTCAGTTATTTCAT